TGGGTTGTGCACACAACCTTTTGTACTTTCTTACAATCCTGGGCAGAGCAGTTGCCATACCAGGCCGTTATGTACCCAGACTGTATGCTTTCAATGGTGCATCTGTAAAAGTTGGTGAGAGACCTTATGGACATGCCAAATTTCCTGAGCCACCTGAGGAAGAAGAGGCATTGTTGTGCCTTCTTGACTGTCACATTTACATGGTGCAGTGCAGGTAGTTGGTTATTGTCACTCCGAGGGACTTGATGCTCTTCACTCTCTCAATCTCAGTTCCATTGATGTAGATGGGGGCGTTTTCTCCTCCTTTCTTTCTGAAGTTGATGGTCAGTTCTTTAGTTTTGCCGACTTTGAGAGACAGATTGTTTTCATTGCACCATTTCACCAAGCCCTCTATTTCCTTCCTGTATTTTGACTCGTCGTTGTTAGAAATATGTCCCACTACGGTGGTGTCGTCAGCGAACTGATGTGGGAGAGACGAGGACCAGAGGCCAAATCTCAAAGTAATGGCTCACCCATGTAAGAGATATGAGAAGAATATTTTTCTTTCAGAGGGTAGTGAATCTGTGGAAAGATTTACCGCAGAGGACTGTCAAGGTTGAGTCATTAAGTATATTCAAAGTTCATATAGACATATTTTTAATCAGTAAGGGAATAGAGGGTTATAGGGACAAGGCAGGAAAGAGGAGTTGAGGATTATCAGAGCAACTATAATATCACTGTATGGCAGAAGACTTGACGGTCTCCTGTTCATATATCTTATGGTCTAATGATATGAATTTTGCCCTGGTTTAAATATATCATGCATAGAACTTAGAAGTCTGTGCAGGAACAAGTAGAAGGAATATTATAGGCTGGTCCAGTTTAGTTTCTGGTTGATGTTAACCACCATGGATATTAATGGATGGGGTGAGTTTTACTCTAAATGCTTCACCTGACCTTGAAGTGCTTAATGTGGACCAAAAGTAAAATTGATCACACTCCCCTAGTTCAGTTAATACAAACACTTAATGTTTTCACATCTTAAAACGTAAAATAAATTAATCCTTTTGTTTCAGCAACTGTGTTTCATTGTGATGAATATCAGCAGATCACTCAATACTTGTGCCTCCTAAGTTATCTTGTCAACCTTACAAGTACTGCTCATTGTGACAGTCTGTTCCTAATCAATGGTACCTGTCAGCTAATAAATTGAGAAGTTAAAACGTAAAGCTAGTAATTGGCTGTTTGATCATAGAGACCTGTTTGATGATCCATTTGGCAGGGTCTGTGACACAACTACCTATTACTATTTCATGAAAGGAAAGGCACGAGTGGAAGCACAGTGAGGCCAATGTAGATTTCCAGATATTGTTTACCTTTAATCCATTGTTAGCCTATTTCCATGGACTTGTTGGCAAGTAGTTAGCTAACAGATATGCTGAAAAATATAACTTTTGCTTCTCTGCTGGAACACAGCCAAATATCACTGTATTTTTCCCCTGCTCAGTCCAATCTCATTGACATACGTTAATGTGAAACGTGCAGAGGAATATTTAGTAAATGTCATGCTGCCCTGAGAAATACAGGACCAGCCCCATTGCAGCTACACACATAGAGTCATACAACACTGAAATAGACTCTTCAGGCCAACTTGTCCATGTCGACCAGGTTTCCTAAACTGAACTAATCCCATTTGCTGGCATATCCCTCTAAACCTTTTCCATTCATGTACCTCTCTAAATGTCTTTTAAATGTTGTAATTGTCCTCGCCTCTAACACTTCCTCTGGCAGCTCATTCCATACATGCACCACACTCTATGAAAAAGTTGCCTCTTAAGTCCCTTTTAAATATTTCCTCTTTCATCTTAAATTTATGCCCTCTAGGTTTGGACTCCCTTACCCCAGGGAAAAGACTTTGTCTATTCACCCTATCCATGCCCCTCATGATTTTATAAACCTCTGTAAGGTCACTCCTCAGCCTCCTACACTCAAAGCAGTGCTTGACCAAATGTGGCATCAATGAACTTGAACAAAACTAGAATCAATGGGATTCAGGGGTAAACTCTCCTCTGACTGGAGTCAGACCTTGGTTGGAATAGGGATTTTTGATGATGATTACACAGTGTTCAGCACCATTCATGACTGCTCGGATACTGTAGCAGTCCATGTTCAAATGCAGTTAGATCTGTTCATCCAGGCTTAGGCTGACAAGTGGCAAGTAACATATGCACCAAACAAGTGTCAGACAATGAGCATCTTCAACATAAGAGAATCCAACCACCTTGTCTTGACTATAAATAGCATTCCCATTGCTGAATCCCCTGCCCCATCAATGAGGGAGAGGTGAGGGCAGGGAGTGAGGGGAGGTGGAGGTGGGGAATGAGGGGAAGAGGGAGGCTGGGACTGAGGGGGAGGTGGAGGTTGGGAGTGAGGGGGAGTTGGAGGATGGGAATGATGAAATGGATCTTCCTCTTCCTGGCAGTGGTCTCTTTCCAGTGGCTACAGCTCCTTCCAGTTGCTGCATTATGTGAAGAAGGGCTCTTTGAGAGGGACTGGGGCTGCTGCTGAATATGTTCCTGCCACTTGCTGCACTCCCTCACTGCACTCAAAGAAAGAGTGGTCCATCTCCTCAAGAAGATGTCAAAAAGGACAACAAAACTGCTGTGGGCACATGTGCTGACAGGGCGATGATGGCAGCTATCTTCCTGTCTGTGCTCGCAGCTCCGCCTGTGGTGGCCGTCACTATACACAAGCCTCAACACCTCACAGTTTTTAAATTGTCCCACCTGGCTGTTATTTGAAGCCTGAAACCTGTCCTAGAAACAGCGTGGAGAAGTAGGTCCTTTTTACTTAATATTCTGTAGATTAAACAACTCCCTCCTACCCTGGTTTCACGGGTCTCCCACCTCCACCTTACACTCAAGGTTAGGTGTCTCTTTCACCCCTCTCCTGGATCGCGCAATTTTCAAATACCAGCATGAGGCCACAATGGGGAAAGGTTCAGGCAAGGTATGCACACCAGCAACTCACTGAGCTACTTTGAAAGAACCTCCCAGGCCCGAGAACTCTTACTTGCCCAGAGACTGTCTCTCATTGTCCACATCCTTGTTTCTTTTTTCATGTCAAAGCAAATGCTGTGAACTATCACGATGCAAAATTGCATTTTAATAATTTCTAAGCGCTACTTGCAGTTGGAAGCTATAGTTGATGTTGAGTCAACATGAGCTCCTCTCTTTTAGGTGTTCTCCTGCTTGACAGGAATAAGTTTTCAATACCTTAAATATAAGTTAGATTTTATATTCTGGAATAACTTTTCCATGTTTGTGTTGCTGGTAGGAAGCTTCTTACAAAACATAATTAATTTGCCTTAAAATTATCTTTTCCACTGATGTAGAAACCCACACAAGGAGGCAGTTGCCAACTAAACACTGGTTGTAGGTGTTCCTTACAAACAACATGAAAGTTTCTTCTCTATTGATCCAAAGCCAAAACACTTCACATTGATGGGAAGGTATAGTATGACCTGTTTCCTTTACATTTCAAATAGCTGTATTCTTCATTATGGTGGCAGATCAATCTCCATCAGACTATGACCGGTGTTTATTGAAGTTACAGCATCCTAACCATTGTCAGTGGTGCAAAGATCCTGCCTGGTTGTGTAATCTACTTAATGTAGTCACTTAAATTAGGTGATTAATTTATATTTCCATAATAGTTAACATTTATGTGTGTTTCTAATTCCATATAATACCCAAGGTGCCTCATAGGAGTATAAACTGACAAATACTGACATTTAGCCAAAGAAGGAGACATTTAAGATGGGTAACTACAAATTTGGTTTATATACACACACATATATATAGGTTTTAAAGAATGCCTTGAAGGAAAGAGATGGAGGGATCCAGATAAGAAATTCCAAAGTGTTTAGGGCTAAAACAGCAATTGGGGAAAATGTGTGCAGGGCACACAGAAGTAGGGATGTGGGATTAATTAGATAGTTATAGAAAAGAGCTATGACGCATCAAATGACCTTCTTCTGTGATTCTAAAATGCAGAAGCTTAAGAAATGATGAGATCTTGGAGGATTACATAAGAAATAGGAGATGGAATGGATCATTTGACCCACCATTCAACAAGGTCAAAGTTCAACCTCTACTTGAACTCCACCTTCACACAGTATTCCTGTCTCCTTTAATATCCAAAGACTGAACATCCACAGCTCTCCAGAACAAAGAATTCCAAAGATTTCAAGATTTTAAGTGAAGGCATTTCTCATCTCAGTCCTAAACCTGTATTCTGAGAGGGAGGCACACTCTAGACTCCCCAACCAGGTAAAATATTTTCTCAATATCTACTCTGTAAACTCCTGTAGAATTTCATATTTCAATTTGTTAATCTATATTTTTTTTTAAACTGCAGGGAGCATGTGTCTAGTCTACTCTATCTCCCTTCAAAGGGCAATTGCCCTCCAGATCCAGTCCAGTGAACCTTCATTGCTCTTTCTTTAGGGCAAGTATGTTTTTCCTTAGGTAAGGAGATCAAAACTCCACTGCTTTAAATGTGAGTTCATTCATGATACTGTAAAATTTTATTAAGAATTTAGTTCTATACACAATCTCTTACCAGCAAAAACTAACATTCTAGGGTTTTTTGGACATCAAAATAACAAAGAGTGAGGTCAAGGAAGGATCTCTACAGGAATAAGATTTTTACAAGAATAAAACATAAATCTCTTATTGTTTGCATTCCTTAATTCCAATAATTGGCTAATTTTCTTTAAGTGGAAAAATTGAATGAATTATCAGAAGTAATCTCAAGATAGGAGTCAATAAACTACAAGTATAAGAAGGCGTTGAATATGATAATCCCTGGCCTTGATTTCCCAATTTATCCCACCAGACTAAGTAAGTCACGTTGATAAGATGACCCAATTTTAATAAGTAAATCTTAGTGAACAATTGATTGGTGCATTGTACTGGCATAAAAGATGTTTCAAAATAAACAAAATCTCAGAACAATTGTCGAATTAAAAGGAATATTTATTTACATATATTTTGTGTATTTTCACATGAATGCCATTTTCACATTATTTGTCAACAATTTGTATTTGCAGATTGGGACAAAACATGCCACTTTGTGTCAACCCCTAATTACAAAAGTTGAATAATTTAGACAAATCATTTTGTTCAGTCAAGTGCCTAAAGTGTAACGTTTCGTCGTAATGCTATGCAACAAATCTGGAACAGTGGTAGTTAAATTTCACAAATGTTAATAATTTAATAATTCAAGAGGCTAACAATGTATGGTTGAAGAGTGGAGTAACAACTTGATGCATTCAAAATGATACAATTGATACGAGTTAGTAACATCCTTAATTTTCAACAATTTGATACTATATTCTTCTTATCTTACATTCCATAATGCACTTGAATGTTTGTTTTAATACAGCATGTACAGTAGAATCTATAATGCATCTCTAAAATACTCAGTCCTTACAGAAAGTAATTTCACCAAAGTCATACTGAGACCAAGCAGTTGGGATTGTGTCTGTCTTTTCATGAGATGCTCTGCATCCCATCATTGGCCAGGGATTCTGGGCAAGTAAGCCAAAGATCTGCATGTTCGGCCCTATGATTCCCAAAGGACGATACGGTCTCGAGACACAAAATCCTGAAGCAGGCCAGGTCTTGTTAGGTACTTTTCCTTTTATCTTAAAATCACATTTATCTCCTTTCAAAAGTCCAGAAGAAGACTGTCCATGGATTTTGTTTTGAAAAGAGAGTACCTCTACCATCAGTTCAGTCCTGCTAGATTTGAAAATGTTGGAGTAATAAGACAAAATTTCTGAACTCTAGTGCCTGGTCCCAATGTCTTTGCCTCTTTATAGGTGTAAAGGGTGAAGATTACATTCCAACACCAGAGGTTGAGAGGATGAGCAGCTAAAACCTGGCTGTGTCCAACGGAGTGGATCTTGTGCACCCTGTTCCCACCCACCTTCTTTCACTGTGTGTTCCCCCGTCCCCATTGCAGCCTCCTCTGCACCCTCATGCTGAGGAGTTAATGTTGCCTGAGGACATCAGGGTCTCGGGTGTGCCGCACTCGTCCTTGTGCTGATGCGATGAGTTGTCCGACTTGCTGGGGCTAAACTCCAGGGCAGCGGTGAGTGGGGGCTGGTGCCGCCGGGCCGGCCCGTGGTGACACAGGCAGCAGAGCAGACGGAAGAACGCCCGCCTCATCTCCCGGCTGGTCAGCGTGTAGATGACCGGGTTCATGGCCGAGTTGAGCACGGCCAAGGCCAGGAACCACTGGGCCTTGTAGAGCACCGGGCAGCCTTGTGCCTGACATGCCACGTCAAGCAGCAGGAGGATGAAGAGCGGAGACCAGCAGGCGATGAAAGCGCTCAGCACGATCATCACTGTCTTGAGCAGCGCCAGGGACTTCTCGCTGCTCTTGCTGGAGCGCACCGAGTACTTGCGGAAGGTGAGCCGGCGGCTGCGGGAGCGCACCAGGGCGTAGATGCGGGCGTAGAGCAGCACGATGGCCAGCAGGATGAAGCTGAAGACGGTGGTGCAGAACAGGATGTAGTGCTTGTGGTAGAGGGGCAGCACGGTGGAGCAGTGCGGGAAACCCCGCAAGCAGTTCCAGCCCATGATGGGCAGGCCGCCCAGGAACATGGACAGGAGCCAGCAGCCACTGATGAGCAGGAAGACACGCGAGCTGCCCCCCGAGCTGTGTGGCTTCATCTTCAGCATGGTCAGGTAGCGCTCGATAGCGATGGCCAGCAGGCTGAGCACCGAGGCTGCCAGGGCCACAAACATACTGCCTTCCCTCAGGAACCACTGCACCGGGGTCAGCCTGTAGGTGTTAGAGCCCGACAGCAGGATGTTGACAGTGTAAGCGGCGCCGGCCAGCAGGTCCGACAGTGCCAGGTTGCCAATGAAGTAGTACATGGCACGGTGGAACTTTTTGGTCTGCCAGATGGCCAACAGCACCATGAGGTTCTCCAGGATGATGAAGCAGCAGATGACGATGAAGAAGATGGACGAGACGGTGAGTCCAGCTGCCAGGCCATCAGAGCTGACCCTCAGCTTGCCGGTGTAGTTGTAATGCTGCAGGATGATGTCCGGGTCCGTGTAGCTGTAGCCAGTGTAGGCCGCGTGGCGCTGCCTGCCCGTCTCCATCCTAATTCACTTCTTTGTTGTTGTTGTTGCAGCTGCCGCGCGCCTGTTGGCCGGCAGATGGCGCCGCAATTGGCGGGTCAGTGAGGAGCTGCGGGAAGACCATGGGCCATCGCCACTTCTGCCTGGAAAACAACAACAACCCGCAAGGTTACAAAACCATCCCAAACGTAATGTCTTCAAAATGTAAAAGGTACAGTAGCCCCAATCCTCCGAACTTCACTGAATTGCACAGGTAACATTTTGCTTCACGGTATCAACCGATGCACATTTTTTCGCCCCACCAAAAATTATTTGTAGCTTTTTTCCGTTTTATAACGGACTGCAGTTGGGAAAATATTTTTAAAAGCTCCCTTTCGTTGCGAAAGGTGCTTTTTAAATGCAAGTTCTAATTATATGGAAACAGAAGTCGTCGTTTAACGTTTCAAAGCGACTATCCCGAGACGGCCAGTAATTAGCTATCAATGTCCTTATGTAAAACAAAATCAGTCATTTCCAAAACAGCCAGCGCATTCTTTAATAAAAAAAGAATTCCATCGTTAAAAATACATTCATTTTTGCTGAAACACGTTTCAAGCTTCAGTAGAAACGAAAGGGAGGCGATGGAAGCAAGTCGAGAATAAATTACTAACATTGCAACTTAGTTTGCGAGCAGTTTAAACTTTTTTTGCCAGACGAAGATTACCTTGGTTTGTTCAAAACGTTTTAAAAAAGGTAGCTTAGAGGTGCGAGACCGTGAGAACAGGAAACTGTCGGCGATTGGAAACAATAAGAAACCGGCGTCTTCTCTCCAACAGAACCATCTGTGTAAAAGAGAACTTTGCTTCAGTCCCAGCCTGGTGACTGTCACCGACTCAGCAACATCAAAACCAACTCAGCTCTGAGACTGGGTGGCGATAAATAGAAGATGCACGCAGCTGATAACAGAGCAAAAACAGGAAAAAGGTTGACGCAGGGTATCCAGGACAGGAGCAGGCAGACAACAGAATTTAACAGAAACGGTTAGAAACGCCCCGCCACATATCTAACGCACAGATAAAAGTCTGCAACTTGCAAAGAGAACGAAATAAGTTTCCTGAAAATGACAAGTGGTAAATAAAAACCTCGTAAACTCCCAGAACTTGACAGCATGTCAAACTTGGGACCTTATAGAAGTCAGGGATGTGAGTTCAAAAGTAGCATCTTTATTTTTAAGCGACAAAGAAATTGCAATTTTAAATATAAAATATGCAATATTTATCCGCAGAGTGCATTAAATAATTGTCCTCGTTGGCGCCAGTTCTGAACAAAACAGATGAAATATAGTTGGAGTCCTTACCAAGTCGAGTCTGTGGTAGCTGAATAGTTTCCCACGTGTTGTCGGTCTAAGCCCTGGGCTGTCAGTGGAACACATTGAAGAATCGAACCGGTTTTTACTGGGATAGTGAGTCCACAAGCGCCCCCTTTTCCTATTTGCTCCAACAGCCAACACTAATCCTGTCAGAGAGGTGCATTCACTTGGCAGCGATATTATTTTGTGCTGGAGGTCACCGACTGGGGACATGTGGAAGTTATTTTCACAGCAAACTTGAAATGATTGAATTCATACCGTCCGCTTCAATAAAGAGATCTAATAAGGCGAATTAAAATACAGGGTTTCAAATATGTAGATTTCCAAGGCATCTGTATTTTATCACAGCCCGACCCCTGCCAGACATTTCAGGAGTCAGTAATCTTAGATGCAGGGTCTGTTTTCTGTGCTGCTTAGTTTACTGCCATTGATGTGTTTAAAAGAAGAACTTTTGTACGAAGTGGCTGTCACTGCTGACAAACCGAATTGCACAGTTTGATGGGTGAAGTGGTGTGAAGAGACTTGCGTGTAGCCTTTAATTTACAGTTGCTGGGTCAACTAGCAACAACTTCAATGTTTATTTCTAAAAGAAAATCAGTTTTGCTTACACCCCTGAAGGCCACAGTCAGAGGCGCTATTGAAAAGCAGTGGCAGAGCTTCCCGCTAACCGCAGTGTGTGACTGACTGACTGCGGAGAGAGCAGTCCATCTGGAGTTAGGTGGGGGATGGGGGAGTGGTATTGTCTGCTCAGGGTTAGGAGGGGGCGGGGCAGGGCAGGGTGAGCCTCATTCCCTGAACCAGAGGCAGCGGGTTTGAAATGGGACCTGGTCTAAAGGAGCCGCAGCACTGCAGGAAGTGACTGCGGAATCATTTGGACTGAATGTGAAGCCGAGTGGGTGGAGTGTGAGGAGGGAGGGGGAAGGGGGATGGAAGGGGGATGGAGGGGAGATTCCGGGCTGCCACCATGTAGACGGTCGTTAAAAAGTGTTGGAATCCGGCAGGAAGCACTTTCTGCTTCCCCGGCGCTTCTCTGCTCCCCCATTTAAAAAAAAAATTCCCTTTTATTTTGAATATCTAGTGTGAGGGGACGAGCTTGTTAAAGCTTGGTGCTTGTCTTTAAGGGTCAATCATGGGAAACTGGTGTACACTTGCCAACCTACACTGGAGACTCCTGAAGAGCAGAATACTTAAACCAAGGCCAGAAGAGGGGAAGGGAATATTGTTCAACATCAATAGAGCAGCCACTGGAGTGTACTGTAAAGGCCCACAGGATGGGGGCAGCGGCCATTGCTGGATTTCTCCTTGTGGAAGAGGAGGAGGAAGAGGAGCAGCAGCAGAGGAGGGCAGCCCAGGAACGCCGAGGGCACAGACGGATAACCACACGGCAAACAAACTACCCCAGGCACCGGGTGTTTAGGAACAGGGTCAGTTATTTAGGCTTGACAGAGGAGCAGTGCCTGAAGAGGCTACGGCTGAGCAGGGAGGCTGTGACCGAGGTCTGCCATTTGGTCCAAGGTGATATACACGGAGAATCGATCATCCGCACTGCACTGCCAGTGGCGGTGAAGGTCACCGCTGCCCTCAACTTCTACGCCACAGGGACTTTTCAGGCACCCACAGCGAACATCACCGGGATCAGCCAGTTTGCTGTGTACCGTTCCATTAAGGAGGTCACTGATGCATTGATTCGACATGCTCCCACCTACCTGAGCTTCAGGAGTGACGAAGAGCAACAACGACAACAGTACTTCTTCACCATTGCTGGCTTCCCCAAGGTACAGGGAATTATTGACTGTATGCAAGTTGCCATTTGTGCACCAAATAACAATCCCATGGCCTACTTAAATGCAGAAGGCTATTACTCTATCAATGCCCAAATTATATGTGACCACCGCCAGAAAATAATGAACGTCAATGCATGCTGCCCAGGGGGCATGCATGACTTTTACATTCTGAAGCAATCTGAGGTGCCCATGATCTTTGAAGGAGAAGGAAAGCTGAACGGATGGCTCCTTGGAGATCTGGGCTATGTGCTGCAGCCATGGCTGATGACACCGCTGCTCCTTCCTGGCACTGAAGCTGAGAACAGATACAATGTTGGACATGCACAAACCAGTAGAGTCATAAAACAGACATTTGGACTGCTGAAGAAACGCTTCAAGTGTTTGGATCGTTCAGGGGGTGCCCTGCGATATGCTCCAGAAAAAGTCAGCAAGATTGTAACTGTGTGCTGCATGCTGCACAATATTGCTATGGACAGTGGCCTCTCCCTGGATTCAGATGAGGAGCTTCAATCCATAGAAGATGAGGAAGATCACGGCCCACAGCAGCCACCAGCCCTGGATCAGCCGCTACAGGCAGCGAGACAGATGCGTGAGGAAGTCATTGCTCAGTTCTTTAGTTGAGGGCTTATGCTGTTGTCTGGACAGGTTTATATTTGGACTTGGTTCTTCTCATTTTTGCATTTTGGACACGGAACAGTTTTTTTTAATTGCTTCTCTACTTTTGTCATTTCTGCAAAATAAAATAAGACTTTAAAACTATCATGAAATATGCAATATATTAAATAAGTGTGTTTTATTTTGAGTTGGTGGGCTTGCACTTTCGTGGCATATGAATAAAGTGTGGTGCCGTTCCAAGGGCTACACCCCTACATGCTTCTTCAGTTGTGAAAATAACAAGAGATGGCTTCGCACATGAATAAGCAAACATCTCTTTTCTGGTTCATTTCTGAGATTTGGCCATTATTGGTAAGACCAACATTTACTAACCATCACCAGTTGCCTTTGAGAAATGGTAGAAGCTCTCGAATCACTATAGTCCGTATGGTCTAGCTACCTCATCGGGAAGGAAGTTCCAGGACTTTAATCCAGAGATAGTATGAGTGTAGAATATGGTTTTAAGTCAGAATGGTGTTTGATTTGGTGGGGAACTTGGAAGTGGTGGTATCACCAAGCATTTGCTGTCCTTATTTATCTAGGTAGTAGAGGTGATGAGTTCCAGAGGTGGTGTTGAAGGAAGCTTGGTGAGGCACTGCAGTGCATCTTGTGGGAAGTGTATACTGCTGCTGATATGAATCAGTGGTAAAAGAGTGAATGTTAAACATGGTCAGTGGAATGCCAGGTAGGATGGTTTATTCAGGATAGTATTGAGCATTTTGATTGCTGTTGGAGCTGCACTCATACGGGCAGGTTGTGATATTTGGGAATGAAGGGGTAAGAGTTAAGAGGAAATTATGCATCAAAGAATTCCCAGCCTCTGCTCTTGTAGCACAGTATTTATATGGCTCTTCCAATTAAAATTCTCATAAATAATGACACCCAGTAATTGTTTGGTCACAGGTTCGTTAATTGTAATGTTGTTGAATGCCAGGGAAAGATGGTTAGATTCTGTCTTGTTGGAGGTCATTATTTGAAATTTGTGCAGCATGGTTGTTCTTTATTGAGGAGACAGGGCACGGACAATGAAGGAAGGAAAAGGAAACAAATTCTGCACTTTAGATCTGACTACCTAATCAGAAAATCCTGCATCACACACCCAAAGATGTGCAGGTCAATAATCAGCCTGTTCAGCTGTGTGAAGACCCCTGGCAGATGCTCAAGACCCTGAGTAGATGCCATCCTCAAATTGCTCTCAACTGGCCACTTAACAGCTATTAGAGAGACGTAATCATGGTGTTATCAAAGCTAGGACTTGAATGTTGAAGTGTATTTCACATTTTGAAAAGTTAAAAATCCAGGACAAGGTGTTGGGGTAGTTTTTGGTTAACTAGGGGTGTTATTACTATAGTTATGAGACATGGCCTTTGATTAAAACAGCAAAATGTAGAATATAGAACAAAAACAGAAATTGCTGGAAAAGCTCAGAGGTCTGGCAGCATCTGTGGAGAAAAAAATCACAGTTAACATTTCAGGTCTGGTGATCCTTTCTCAGAGCTGAAGAATGTAGATTATGTTTGGTTAGAGAGAAGAAAGGTAGGAGACCATTTGTGGGGGTTTATAAGCTCTTTAACAGTAGTAACACAGTAGGTCAGAGTTAAGAAAAGAAATAAATGGAGCATTTAAGAAAGGTATTGCATTTATAAAGGGTGCTTAATCCACATGTAAATTGGGTGAAAAAGATTGAGAAAAGGAGCCTGGAAAATGAGTTAATAGTGTACATTTGGATATATATTTCGAGCAGTACATTCTAGAGTCAACAGGAGCCTTTCAAGATTTATGTGATAAAAGTGTATGATACATTTAGGTTTTCAAAATAAAGGTAGATGGATTTTGAATTCAGTGAGGCAACCTTTTGTAAAAAAAAGGTCAGAAAGCCATTTGGAATAGTGGCCAAATAGGTCATTTTCAAGAAAGCATGTTATTCTGTCATATACCCAGTAGGATACCTGTGAAGTGAATTGATAGAATGCTTATACCACTGTGTTTATGACAGACAGATTATACAGACCCCAGGGGAGCTCATTTAGTTTTGACTTCAGGAGAATCAAGAGTTCAGTTCTGAAGAAAAGGTTCCTCCTAGCAGAAAAATCAAGTTTTCAGATGAGCAGAACAACTACTCCAGTAGAAGAGGTTTAGTCTTCAAGCTGTGAGAGTTTGTACACAAATTTTCAAATTGTCAGAACTGAAAATAGTTTTAGGTCATTAGAACTGAAAGGAGAGAACATAGTGTGGAGCTGGAGGAACACAGCAGGCCAGGCAGCATCAGAAGAGCAGGAAAGTTGACGTTTCGGGTCGGGACCCTTCTTCAGAAATGGGGTAGGGGGAAAGGAGCTCAGAAACAAATAGAGGAGGGGTGAGAAGGTAGGTGGGATGGTGATAAGTGAGTGCAGGTAGGGAGTGGTGGGGATTGGTCAGTGAGGTGGGAGGAGCGGATAGGTGGGAGAGAAAATGGACAGGTTGTGTCAGGTCAAGGAGGCAGGGATGAGAGGGAGGGTTGGTTATGGGATGAGGCCCCTGAAAGGAGGCTCAGATCAGCAGAACTGGAGAGAAATCATAAAACTGTCTCAGCATTCTAAGAAGGAAAAATGGAAAGAGTCAGTTAAATAACAAGTTAGAATTGAGACAACCTGATAGTTCTTTGGGATTGAGTATCTGTAATGGATATTGATGGAAGAAAGGTTGAAACTTTGTTTTGCTGTTTGTATATTTTCTTCTATACTCTTATATGTTTAGCTTTCTTTATTTTGTGGGTCAAACATGTGCTATTGTGTAAAAAGAAAATTTGCAGCCTAATGTCAATATGAAACTAAATTTATCAAGCCAATTTTTTCTGAGATATGGCTTGTCAATATTATCATCAGCTGATATCATAACATCTAGTAATGAGCAATGAGATAGGATTTACCTCACGGTAAAGGAATGTCAACAAGAAGTGACAACCATCATTACCTGAATTTTATGTTCAGTATGAAAGTATGGGTCCACAACAAGCATTTTAAGCTTAAATAAAAGTTATTGAAATGTTATGAGATCAAAGCTAGCTGAAGTGACTGGGAAACTAGCTAATGGGGAGAGAGTAGAAAGTGAGAAAGAAAGACTGTTTGAGAAATGTGCTTCATCCATGACTGAATAAACAGGTAAGGGTAGTATGAAATTGAAGAAACATTGCATAAATCTGAAAGGTCAGTGGTAGGTCAGAAGATTGGTCAGATTTTAAGAACTACCAAAGAATGACTAATACAATAATAAATGGAGAAAAGAAAGAATGAAAGATGCTAAGCAGGTAATATAAAACAGCAAACATATTAAGCATTTAAATATGGAAAGAGTAACTAAAGTTAAAATTGGTTCACCAGAAAGTGATAGTAGGGGATTGAAAAGAGCAGTCAGGAAGTGGTGGTGTGGTGGTCTTTATTCAGAGAAATGTAGATGTCATTGACAAAGTGTGCATTTCCTATAATTTCCCTTAAGTTGAGTGGCTTTCAGAGTGGCTTAATTACCCTTTTCAGAGGGTAGTTAAGAGTCAACCACATTGTTATGGATGTGGAGTCACAAGTAAGCCAGACCAGATCAGGATGGCAGATTCCCTTCCCTAATAGGATATTAATGAACCAGGTCGGATTTTACAACAAAATGTCACAGTTTGTGGTTAGCTTCAAAATACTGACTTATTAATTTATTTAAATTCCAGCAGCTGCCATCATGAGATTTGAACCCATATCCCTGAGCATTGGCACAGGCTTCTGGATTACTGTCCAGTGAAACTGACTCTATACCATCATCTCGCATTTATAGCTGTGCCCTTCTTCATTGTAGGAGACTTTGAAAACATCCCAAATATGCTTGAAAATGAAGAGATGAAAAGAAAGGGGAACTTAAAACAAACATCACTAGAGAAAAGGTGTAGGAAAATATTTTAGACCTAAAGGTTAAAGAGTTTCCAGTATTTGGTGCATTGATTATTATCTACCAAAATTCCTTCATTTCTGGCAGTGTCCTAACATATTAGAAAATAGCAAAGTAACACCTTTATTCAAGAAAGGAGGGAGATAGAAAGCAAGAAATTTTATAAGCTGAGTGTCTGTAATTGTCAAATTGCTAGAATCCATTTCTTAGGATGTAATAGCGGTTTACTTTTAAAATCATTGTGACCAGACAGAACCAACAGAGTATTGTGAAAGCGAAATTGTGTTGAATTAATTTATTTGAGATTGTTGAGAAAGTAACAAGCAAGTTGAATAAAGCGAGGCCTGTCGATGTGGCGGACTTGGATTTCCAAAAGACAATTGATGACGTATCACATCAAAGTTTAATCTGCAAGCTATGAACATATGGCACAGGGGATAACACATTTAACATGGATAAAGGATTGGTCATCTAACAGAGAAAAGAGAGTAAGAGTTGGATGAAGGAACTACATATATAGCAACTAAATTTGCTGACGGCTACTGCAAACAATTAAGAAGGCATATTGCCATTTATTGCAAGGAAATAGAATACAAAAGTGGGGAGGTTTTATGACAGCTGCAGAGGGGCTTAGATCTCATCTGGAATATTGTGTGCAGCTTTCGGAATTGATATAATTGCTTTGGAAGTAGTTCAGAGAAGTTTCACATGCGATGAAAGATTTGTAAAAAAGGTTAGTCAAGTTGGGCACGTACCCATTGATGGGTGAGAGGTGAATGAGTGAGGTGATCTTATTGAACCATTTAAGATCCAAAGGGGATTTGCTAGTGTGGATATTAAGTCATAGAGTCAGAGAGGTTATACAGAGTGGAAACATGCCCTTTGGCCCAACTTGTCCATGCTGACCAGGTTTCCTAAACTGCATTTGGCCCATATCCCTCTAAAGCAGTTGAGGCTGGGTCATTGAACTTACTGAAAGCAGAATTAGATTTTTTGGTAGATGTGGATATCAAACATTATGAGGGCAGACAGGAACATGGATTTTTAGACCATAAGCC